TTCATACAATATTATGTCAATATGTAAAATGTTTTATTGTATCACAAATAGTACAGGAATTCAAAACATTACAATATTCTAAAACTCGTGTAAACATTTTCTTGTCTTCACACTTGTCAATAAGGCAAGACATAATGCCTGAAATACAAATACTGTTGGTACATTATGCACAAAATACTATGGTCGTACTGCATATCAAATATACCAAACACCAGACTCTGGATAAATGCACATTTTGACTGTAGCAAACATTACCACAAAAATGAAAATCACATTTCAAATATTTATTACTTCAATATTGTCATGTCCATTCATGAAAATTTCAAACTCAGAGCTGCCATAAAAAAAACTACAACACATATTTATGGAAGTACTTGAAATATATATGAAGTATCTCTTGATCTTTGTTGTGTATGAGCTGCACATTAAAACATATCACATGAAAGTTGGTAACACTAAACTCCTTTCAAGATTGGTTGCAAAATTATTCAAAAGACTTCTGGATCTTCTAATTCTCAGCGAGACTATTGGAGTTTTAACCAAGTATAGATTGTAAGATCTTACTTTGGGGATTGAGAGCATCCCTACATTTCCATAGTGCCAATCCTACATTGTAACTGCATTTAACTGACAATAAATTAAAAGAGTTATGTTAAACCACAATGAACAGTCTAGTCACATGCTGAACTGAAGAGAGACAGTTATTAGATCTACAATAATTGTAGAGCAGCAGTGATAGTCTTACCTTCTTAATTATCATTATCCATCCCATTAATGCAAACATTTTTTTTAATTCATACATGAAAATAACAAGACCAACTTTTCAGAAACAACAAGCAGTAAGACCTTGATTTCATACAGTGCACCAGAAGAGTCACTTCACGTCAAGCCGAATCAGGGCCATCTTATTAAAAATTTCAATTATGTTGGTTGCAACCAGATCACTAGGAAACAAGAGAAGGGGACAACACTTCCAGCATGTATACTTGGGTTTTTATCACCTGGCACTTGACATAAATCAGCTGTTGACAGTTTCATCCAATCAGAAGCTTAAACGTAACCACAGCGACTTCACTGTAGCGACATGTAAGCCCCCGATTGGATGACACCATAACAGCTGATATACATCAAGTGCCAGGTTATAAAAACACAAGTATATTATGATTGTGTTGAGTGTGCACTTTACATTTTATTTTGCCACAAGCTGCAGCTCATGCTGCCAACATAATTTCTGTTGCAATCACTCCCACCAGCAAGATACCATTGCAGAGTCTTTCCAGGCACACTATATTACAGCTTATTGCAGAATTGATTCTATTTCAGAGATCTTTTTTTTTAACCAAGTTTAAAAAGTCTACGAAGTGACAACATGGCCCTGTCATTGTTCCAACAAATGCAACAGTGGTCAGCCCAGCACGATTGGAAACAGTGCACCAACTGGCTACTAGCAATCGGTTCCAAAGATCTAAGTATGATTAACCGCCACACAGGCTGATTGAACGACAAGAATTACGAAGACCTTTCTGAAATGTTTTGCATTAAAATGAAGGCAGTTTATTATAAGAAACTTTTATATTTGCATTTCATCAGTGAATTTTAAAAATTGAATCAAACTCTCCGATAATATTGTCAAGTTGTCAAGTTCCATAGTTCACTGTTTTATTACTATTTCAAGAAAAAAATGCAAGAATGTTATTCAGAATATATAATTCTTTTCTAAAACACTTTAATTTTAGCAAAAAAACAAACTAATTTCTCAAACAAAACAGTTAAAAAAAGTGTTAAAAGTTCCATTTTCAAAATTATTAATTTTCATTTGTACTTGTACACAAAGTACAAAGATGTGAAATTAAGGAGTGAAATAGATCATTATTTCCTTATCAGAGGTGACCGTTACTGAACGTATCATAAGGCCTTTACTTCGAAGAATAATCACCGTTTCCAAAACCAGCGTTATAAATGTTTAGTTACACCTTTCTGACAAACTCATTCAAATCTCATGCAACAAATTGCTGTACATAGACTTTATCCCAATATTTAAGTATTATGTTCTCTTAACATTTTATATGACATATAACATATAATACACAAGTCTTTATTTTATCTCGCAACACCTGACTGGGAACCTCTGTTCTTGATGTGGCAATTTGGTAAACTTAGCCATCCCTTTTATTAATAGTGACCCTCCCACAGTTTAGGGTTGGGGGAATGCAGCAATTATAATTCGAAAAGAAAGTACTTACTCTGTTCTTGGGCAGTCATTTTCTCTCATTTCATTAATTCACTTAAGGACACATTTAGTAAAGAAGAATGACCAGAAAATCATAATATTTTAATTATTTTATTAATTATTTTCAATAATTAATAAATTACTACTTAAATTAATAATTTCAAAGTACTAAAAAATATATTTTATGTTTGTGTTAATTTTATTAAGATTTTCTTCTTTTTTTAATTTGCAGGTATCAAGTATTCGAACAATAGATGTTCTGGAATTGACTGCATGTAATAATGAAGAACTTGGCTATGATATTTCAAGAGATATTTTTCTAATTATTATTTATGCATGATTTCATTGAACAATATTTCTTGTTACATTATAGTTCACAAATTAATAAATCAGTCATAACTTCCCTCCACATCTTCAATATCCGATCACCTCAACCCCACGGACCCTGACTCACTCAGCCCAAAACGATTCCAGCCTCACAGCCGCATACCTCACCACCACAAGTCTTGAGAGGTGAAAACACAAGAGTTGCTTTAGCTTATGATCTGACTCTCACCTCCTCCACTGACCTGACATGCCAGCCACGACTGCCTTGATTGGTGGCAAAGATACACGGTTGTCAAATTATAAATAAAAGTTCTGACCTGTTCCTATTTTTTCAAGTCACTAATGGTCAATAAACATCAACACATCAAAAACAAAACATTATAATTTTTAAAAATAACAAACTTATACAACATTTCAGATGTCTGTTGCGCCCATCTTCAGGTATCCATATTAATGAAACGTTATTTCAATAATTCGTTAGTAATATAAATACATGTTTGATTGTTAACTCATTTTTAATATAAATATAACATCCAAAATAATGTCCAACACATATAAGTTTGTTATTTTCAATAATAATGTTTTATATTTCATGTGTGAATGTTTATTGCCCATTAAAAATTGTTAAAAAAGTAAGAAGAGAACAGAACATTTATTTATAATGGTTATAATATGACAATATACAATTAAATCAATTGATTGGCAGATTACCACAACCTGAACTGGTGCTCCCAGGCATGGGTTGCGGGATAAAATAAAGACTTGTGTAATATAATTAACAAATAACTTAAGAATGAAGTGTTAGGATCACATCTATTGAACAGTTGTATTTTGTTGAGTTGAGAATAAGAGAAAAGTAGTGAACATGATAATAAATAGATGTTAAAAATGTAACTTTATAGTACTGGTTTCTTCTTATAAACCACCTTCACAATGGGAAAATAAATTTCTTCTGAAGAAAACAAATACCGATCATTTTTCACAGGAGTTTAGTATAAGTAAGTAAATATGACTCAATAAAATTCACAATAGGAAAATATAATACTGTGCAATAACAAATGCAAAATTTCAAGGACTAATATTATCTTACAACTTATATAATACATTGATATCAAATTTAACAGTGGCAAAATCGCATATTTGTAATTCACATAAAACTGGAATTATTTTACTGATTAAAACAAAATTAATTTTAACGGTTAATAAAATTATCCAATAAAACAAAGGTGAAGTACTTCACTTCAAAATGCAAACATGGAAAATTTACAACAATGTCACATCACAAACAACCACAGACAATACAACACATAAATGCGTTTTTTAAAGCTGATTTTGAGAACAAACCTTTACCTTACTGGCATTAAGGTAAACACTACTCGAGAAAATTCCGTACTTCTTAATAATACATTCACACTTTTATAAAGCGTTTGTGTGCACTTTTGAGGTACGCATTTAACAAATTTTTTACTTACCTAATGCCAATTGTACTTCATTGTGCATTTGACACTTTAGTAAAATATTTAAACTATTATATATAAACACTTCTTCCACCAATTCTTGCAAAAACAAATTTGTAAATATATTAGATAAAATAGCTCGGAATAGACTAGAACTATCCCACCACACACTAAGAATGTAGAACAACCGTCATGCAAAGCATAAATAACCAGTACAAAAGCAGCGTATTAGATTCCAAAATTTAATAAAATAGTAATCTGTTCAAAATACTTCCCTGAGGACACTGTTTAAAAATGTTTCGAGAAATTACATGGCAAGGCATTTACTTTTTAGAATAATAAACATTGAGGTCCCTGATTAAACAGGGGATTCTAATTAAGCTACATAATATAAAATAGCATGTGAAACTTGGCAAGCAGAAGTGTTAAAAAAATAGGAAAGAAAAAATAAGACTAAGAACAGGAGAGTGCTTTAGCAGGTGCTCATGCACTTAATGATGAGATAATAGTTAACATACAATTTTGAAGAAAGAACCAAACTAAACTGCGCATAAACATAATTTTTTTAAATCATAAGAACCCTGATCACAAGTTTGAAATAAACTATCAAAATCATTTTTGGACTAACAAAATCCAAATCATTGTTTTCTGCAATGCATATGACAACTAAAATGTTGAAAACGTGAAAGAATAATCAGTAGTGAATACAAGCCCATAAAATCCTACAACTACTGTTCTTGGCTGCTTCATATTTAGAACTAATGTTCCTCTGGTAACCTTTTGTGCATTTAAAATCAACACTGAGAAACTTCAGTATTGAGGAAGAAATACATTCACACTCCCCACATCTCTCCACTAGTGCATTCTCAGATGTTAACACTCATACACTTCGGTGGTTTCGTATCCATTAGATCCATCCAGCTTCTTGGAACAGTGCACAGGGAATGTTTCTGATTTTCTGGTAACAACAGTAAAACAACACAAACTGTTACAGCAATACACTTTAACACATTTTTTAAATTCTAAATTTTAAAATCAATAAAAACTTGTATAAATTGGAAATTAAAAGCAGTAAGAATCTCTTTAGTTAAAAGTAAAAGAACAGTAATAAATATAAGGTAGAACTTCTTTGGTTCCGATATTCCCCTCCAAAAATATTTTCTGTTGGCTTTAATTGTCCACGCATTGAGTTTTGTCACTTTATTTTAATATTATGAATAAATGGGTTCATAAATTTTTTATTGAAAATTCGAGAAGCATAGGTGTTCTCCTGAAGGTAAAGCTAAATTACAAAAGGTATATTTGTCAAGCAATAGGGCATTCTTTCCCTTCATATTTTTATTATAACACTGGTTGCTATATTCATTTGTTGGAGTGCTGGCCAATGAGAATAAGGCTTCAAAATAAAAAGACAATGATACAATGCTGATCCGATGGCATAGGCCGTAGGCAGTAGTGCTGTAGTGATCTCGGACCAAAGGATCGCGGGTTCGAGTCCCCGAGTCCGGGCATGGTTGTATTGTGTTCGTCCTTTCACCCCTATCATTATCATATCATACTCATGTCATACTCCAAAACTAGCCCAAAACTTGTATTTCACTTGGAATCTCAAAATCGATTTTCAGTAGCACTACATAACTTTTCCTATACTATTATGTATGTATACCAGAAAGTAAAATGGGAAGGACAGGGAGAGGTAAAAAAAAAGTAAAAAGGAAGGAAAAAGAAAAAACAATAAACAAACAAAATCCTTCACACAAAATACAGTGTTCACCTTATTGATTCAGATTTGGAATCTGAAGTCTCAAGCCCCTTTCCAACTTCCGCACCCAACGTCTGCTCTATTTCCAGAAGCTTGTCTGCCCACTGCACAGGATTGTACGAGGGGCCTTCGCCTCCAAGCTCTGCTGGTAGAATGTCCTTAGTCACATAGTCATGTAGAGTGCTCAGATTATTGCCATGAAGATAAATCTGGAACAGAGAAAAATGGTACTGTATAATCTCATGTGGAAAATTAATTAATTAATTAAAAAAGACAGATTTTTACAGAATGCAGTTTTCCTTCAAATGTACTTTCAGTGCCCAAATCCCATATCATGATAGCCATATGTCAGAAAGAACACAACAAATTACAACTTTTCCACTAATACTGACAAACATTTTATTTGTATTTTGCAAGTTCATAATAAAATTTTTTAAAATATATTAGTTTCCTGGCTGTCCATTTTAGGCAGAAAAATTTACTTAAAAAATTAATAAAACACTGGTTTAATTTAATGTTTTGTTCATCAAATGAATGAATTAAATTGCAATGATTCATGTAAATGCCAGTAAAAGTATGATAATCGACATGAATAAACTCTCTTGCATGAAACCTGATTTATATTATTTTTATCCTACTGAAAATGCTGCATGCTATTTCCATTTGGAATCGATGAATCAACACCACCTTTATTTTCATTATAACATCTTATGTATTATATTTATTGAAATCATACAATTTTCCTCCTCTTCTTTTTAACATATATCTTTCATTAACATAACTTTGTCTTTCTTTCTAAATACATCACTTTCTTCCTACATCAAACAACACTCTCTTATTCGTTTGTTCTCCCCTAACAACATATTTTGAATGATTCTATGACAACAAACAGCTAACACAATTCTCCATAATAGAAAAGTATCAAAAACTTGTTTTATTCCAATTATTTCAGAATATTCTAGAGGGAATTGTGCCAATTGATTTGTCCTGTCAAGAGGAATCAAATAAACTATTGATCACCAATGTGGGTGCTGGCCGGTCACCCAAAACAAATTTAGAAAGTAATAGGTGGTACTGAACTGCTGTATAATCCTCATGTGGAAAATTAATTAATTAATTAACACAGAAAGGAAACAGATTTGTCAGTCTACACGAATTGCCGTTTCGCCTTTCAAATTGTTACTGAAGTGCGCCAAATCCGCATATCATAGAGATAACGCCATGCCAATGTGCAGAAAGAACCCAACAAATTCACATACATTTTCCAACTGATACACGTGACGAGAACATTCTTACGGGTATTGTGGCGCATAGAAGTTCATTTTACATCAGCATTTCTCACAAATAATAGTATACGATGATTAGACTGGCTCGTGTCATTATTATGCTGCCAGAACACCAATATTATTTTAATAGAAAATAGCTTATGTTAATAAAACCACTGGATTATAATATTAATGTTCTATTGTTCAATGAAATGAATGAATTAAATTGGGCAATGATTCAATGTAAATGCCAGTAAAGTAGTATGATAGGATGGAACATGAATACTAACCGTGTTGCACTGTAAACGCTGATTTAAAATTCCTCATTTTTTATCCGGTTATCTGGAAAGATCGCCCTGCATGCTATTTTCCATTGGAAATCAGTGATTAGAATTCACACACACGACTTTTCTCTAATTTTTCAAATTATACCTCACTCTATGTACTTCTATTTATTGAAATCATACAATTTTTCCTCCTCTTCGTTCTAAAGCATATATCCTTTCATTACATCAACTTTTTGGTCTTTCTTGTCTAAATTACATCACTTTCTTCCTACTCCAAACACACTCTCTTATTCCATTTGTTTCTCCCTACGACACATAGGTTTTTTGAATAGCATTACCTATATGACAATTCCGAAACAGCTAAAAACAGATGCGAATCACATAATAGAAAGAGTATACAAGAAACTATGTTTTTACATTCCAACATTGATTATCGGACATAAATTTTCTTAGTAGGTGTATTAGATATAGTGGCGATTGATTTGTCCTTGCATATATTAGGAATCAAATGAAATTATTGATCACTCAATGAGTGCGCACGGTGCGTTGTGCTCGGTTCATACCAACCAACCATTTTTGTTAGCTTAAAAAATGCGCGTCATACTATGCCACAATCACACTCACGCAAAAACGGGCCACATTCACTAAATTGATATTAGCTCCTATATAATATCATATCGGTTCTTTTTCGTGTAAAGTATGTAATCCTAATTTGGCGTCTCCTTTGTACAGTACTCAGATCTGTCCCCTGTGATGCAATAACATGACAACTGGAAAGTATATTCCTGAGTGTTGATACTTAATTGAGGCTTGTGGGGAGAAGTTTTAAGGCATTGGGTGAAATTTTAAAATATACACGACTCTTAGAAGTTAAACAATGGAATAAACCTAATTACAACTAAATACTGGCACCACAGAATATCTATCACACTAAGGTCTAGATAGTAGAGCCAACACAGAAGACATTGGCTAAATATCTCGCTAAGTGGACTCCTTTTACTCCGCCTCGCCAATCATTTTGACTAGGTGGTATCTTGATAATATAAATATGAGCCATTGACATAATTTTCTAAATTCAAAATTATTGTTATTCATGCACTCAGCTGAGCATACAATATGTTTTATCTAAGTCCCAATATTATACTCAAAAAAGGCCAGTAAGTCGCACTTGTTATCTATTACATCTCTCATTGAATAAATATTAACAATAACAAAACCTCTATTACAAATTTTAAACTATCACTATTTTTCTATTGTTTATAATAATCATTGGATATTTCTGTCTAAGGCTCATGTAAAATTATATTCGTCGAGAGGTTATATAAGAATGTGGACTCATGTTTAATATTTTATTGACTTGTTGTTTCTCCACCAGCTCAAAAGCAAACATGGTTCTGTAGAAGTGATGGAAAGTAAAGTATTACGCTATTGCCTGTGGATATCTACTCTATTACAAAGAAAATTTGAGACTATTTTGGGATTGAGATTTTGTCAGCTTCATGCTCTGTTCACAGTGTGTCTGCTAAATGAATTGGTAGGTGTTGTAACGTTCACAAGGATTTT